ACTTCATTACTTTCCTATTAAAATGACAGGAAGTTAAGAATTCTCTCCCCTCCTTTTGTTCTTCTCACAATTTGCCCATGATCCCAACAAAGCTCAGGATAATTCATGCTTTCTATCAATTATTTGGCTTTTTCTCAGAACTTTCAAATGTGTTCTCATAGCCAACCCCCACATCCACTTCTTTGTCATGGGAAGGATGCTGATCCCTCTCCCTCTTCATCTGACAACAGAAAACAATGAGGTGGCCAAAAGTGTTCTCTCTCTAGTGTATTTTCCAGCCAGTCTATCCAGATCTTTCTGAAATATAAATCTGATCAGGTTACTTCCCATAGCTAAGAAATAAATCCCAAATTTTTGTCTTCCATGTAGGACCCTCAGCTCTCCCAGGTGTGGCTTCCTAACTCAGCCTCATTCTCTGACTTTTACTACCTCCTCATCTCTCTTCTCCTGTGTCCTCCCCTTTCCTTCAGCCCCTCTGTACTATCTTTTAAAGATACTAGCACTTGTCCACATACCGCACACCTTCGCTCATGCTGATTATCTGCCAGGTATCCCTTTACCTCCTCCACAATCCCCTACCTACATTTAAAAAATAGTTTAATAAAATCCTGCTTTTTGACATCTTCCCCGGCCCCTCCCTGTGCTGTTTCCATGGCTAAGAGCAGTTCTGCCAACACTGCTCACATCACATCCTAATTGGCTGTGTTATCTCCATGCTCAGCAGGCAGGCCCCTCTGTGCCCTGCATCTCTCTGATTCCAGAGCTTCACGGATTGTCTCACCTTTCAGAAGTGTCTGACCAACTCTGGAGAAAGGAAGGGCAGAGAGGTTAAGAAAGAAGAATGGTGGATAGAAAGACAAAATGTCAGGCACAAGGAAGGAATTCCAGCCTCCCTCTGTGGGCCAGAGCACAGGTCCTGGGGTCAACCCTGCCACAGTTGATTACTAACTGGGGGACCACAGACCTCTTACTTACAAGGGGACTGATAATATTTCTCTCATGAGATGTCAAGATGATTACATGAGATGGAATATACAAAGAGCCTGCAGTGTGGTTAGTGCTGGGCTCCCAGGGGCCTGCCTCTGTGCCAGGCATTTATTGGCCATTCAGAGACAAATGAGAACAATGTGTGCTCTTACCTAGCACTAAGTAATGAATAATAAATAATAGTTATTCACAAGGAATGACTGAATAAAAAACAGCCTGCAGAAGCAGACAACTGAGTGGAAATTTAGAGCCCTGCAGAACATGTCCATATTTGCAGGTAGATGTCTGCAAATGGACACCTGCAAAAATCCAGATGACCAGAGGCCATGGAGGCCGAAGGAGCATGCCAGATGGGAAACAGGAAACCCTGACTGACATCCTCCAGACAAAGGTCTGCCTGGAGGACATGAAGCTAGCAAGTGGTGAGTTTACATTCCTGAAGTTAAATTGTTTCATTTATAAAATGGGTCATCACGTGAACCTTACAGGGATTTTATGAGAACCAGATCTGACATTATGTTATATGATAGGTACTCAGCAAATGTTTATTCTTTTCTTCTTATACCTGTTGTCTTAGTAGACTCACAGAGCCTACACATTGATGACACACTGATATGTTATAATGCAGTGTCACTTCATGATTATTTAGGTTCCATTTTACCTTCATGTTAGTCAAGACTTTTGATTGCAAATGCGATTAAAGCATACTCTGTTTAATCAAAAAATTAAAGGTG